AGTTCCACACCCCGTGCGCGAGCACTTTTTAAATACAAAGTCCGATACGCAATAACGACACACATTTGACACGAACGAGCTCGTGAATACATTTTAGCCTCACAATCAAGCGCCTGAACTGCACGCCATCCTATTCGGCCTTTTGCCAATCCATGAAAAAGGCCTCCCACAGGTGCCCGTCCAGATCGGTAAAGCTGCGGACGTACATGCCCATCTCAGCCCCGTGGTCCTTCATCGTGTAGGGATCGCTCTTGCCGCCAGCAGCGACGGCCTTGGCGAGGAGGGCGTCCACCTCGTCGCGCGAGTTAACGGCGATGGTCAGAAGCGTCTCATTGGTCTTGGCGGGGTCGGCGACAGTAGCGTCCGGGGGGATAAATTTTTTGAAGCAGTCGACGGCATGTACCATGAGGCAAATGTTCTCATTTGGGGCAGGGAGATTCAAGGCCTTCGTGGTTGGGACGTCGCACCATTCGGCAGGGGTGAAGCCCAGGGCAGTGTAGAAGACTTTTGCTTCTTCTGGGGAAGACGTGGAGGCGTTGATGAAGAATGTAGGCTTGGTCGACATTGTGGTTGGGTTATGGAATAGAGAAATTACTGGGGAATGTTAGGAAGGAAGCGATGTCTGGCTGGACAGGTGGGATTGGGACTGGTGTGATGAAATGAAGTGAAGGATTGGAACCCAAGTCGTCCAGCCGGTGGCAGATTCACTGAATTTATCATTCCCACTTCAGATGCCAACTTCAGTTCCGCAAGAGGAAAGAAGAGGAGAAGGCAAGATAGTGTCTCATAATCTCGAACATCTGCGCCGGCGGCGCTGCTGCCTGGCGCCAAGTTCAGCTGTGACTGCAGTGGCGCACATCGTGAGGGGTTCACGAGATTTGACGCGGGGCGCGACGAATGAAAACGCGTTCCAACCGCGTAATCACGTGACCATGATCATCAGGACCTTCGGAAAGATGGCTAGTCTTACCCGACTGTGCACGGAGTCGTCTTTAAGAGACTGGCTGTGTTTGACCCGGATCGGAAAGATTACTGATAGACGCCGCCACATTTGTGCGACTTTCCGTTAGGCTTTGGGAGTGGGGGCTCAGTGTGATCTTGCGTTGATGCAAAGTGCGTCAGGAGGGAGCATGTCAGGTTCTTGTAGTCACTTATCATGAGAATCGTCTAGAAAGCAACTCGAGAAAGATTGCAATAATAGACTGGCTTCCCCGGCACACATAGAAACCTCTACTAGTACATCACATCATGTAGTTGTGCATCGCGTCCGGAAATACGCAGAAAACCAACTATCCATGATATGGAGAGATGCAGAAAACGAGCAGAAAGTTACTTGCGTCAATCAACTGAGTAGAAAATTATCACTTGTTATTCAAGGTGCTGCTCTTGTACAGGTGCAGCTGGTCGACGCTCGGTGGTCGCAATAAGGCGAGGAGCCAGTAAGCGACAAGATGCCAATTTGCGTCTCTCAGTCTGCCGCGAAGGCGATTCTCTGCTCGGCCTGTGTTCATTATCTTCTTGACAAGGTTGACGAAGGCTGCAGACTTGACCTTGGCCTTGTGTCCACGAATGGCCATGCGGTGTCAAACACGGGAGATTGTTTTCAGCTTTGCCTGTACCATAACGAGCGCAGATATCGGGGACGAGACAGTCGACGCCGGCTACAAGATTGTCGACTGCGTTTTCGGAGGACCCTGAGCAGCAAATCTCGACGAACCTTTTCGACATTGTCAATGTGGCTGCCGCCAGCGCTGTGTCCTTGTCGCCTCCGAGCATTGGAGGTGACGAGAGCGATGAATACGAACAGCTATGATGATACCAGGGCCAAGGATTCTGCTGCTCATGTAGAGTCAGAAGCGGACGCGATCATGAGAGATCCCTATCAACCATGCTACCGGGAATTGACGAATGTAAGACATCTTTGATGCTGTCAATGTTGCTGTCATTGCTGCTGTCGCTGCTATTGTGATGGTGCTGGTGGAGGTTCAGCAAAGCTAAGTGGAAGAACGAGAAGGTCGTGATAATACCTCACGAGCTTGCTGCAAGGGCCACAAGTAAGTCTACACCCTCCGTGCAATCGGGAGCCAACAGTGGAGGAACACCTTTCACCCTCGTGCCTACCCAGTCTGGACCAGAAATCTCGGCTTTACCCAGATAATGGCGAAGAACCAGGCTCTCGTCCACACCCAAAGGATAGAGCAGAATCAGGATGATGCAGCTTTTCAGAACCCTGTTGCGCAGAACATTCAAGAAATGAGAAAGGTTGACTCCGCAAAATAAAAACACAAGCTTGATCCATGTACCATGTGACGCAGGCTTAATTTGCATAAGACTACGGAACTGAAGCTGCAGGCACCATGATTCTCATCTCGCCAGGGTTGTTGCCTCACAGCGTCTGCTGCGTTCTCGAGCTATTTAGCACAGGGGGATTTCAGTCCTATTCTGCAAGGCTGATAAGAGTAAGTAGTGATTTGCAGCTCCGCGTGTTTTCCACGTGAGGGTGATGGGGAGTGGTGATAGAACAGGAAATTGTAGCTATCATCCCCTTTCCCCGTCAGCAAAAATCGATGAGATACAACCAGACAACCGAGGCATGTGGGCGTAAGTACGGGTACTTCCCTACGGGCTTGTGTCGAACCATATGCACCGAGAAATCCATTTAGAGGTGGCCATCAGCTGGATACGGCGACCATAAGCCTTCGGCCATTTCGCTGGGTCGAACATGCCGAGTTAAATCACAACCAACTCATGCTGATCCAACATGTAAAACAAGCATCACGTTATGGTCATATATGCGATGGCACGTACGAATGCATCGTAAGTATAGCATTGAATGCTCCCAGTATTACCCCACCACCATCCCTATTTCCCCGGGCTGTTGAACAAGGGTCTCAAACGAAGAAGAATAAAATATACAAGATGTAAAGTAAGAAAAAACGCCCAACCCGCTACGCAAAAGTCGTCCGGTACTCATTCATGCAAACATTAGAGGCCGTGCAGTCGCATGTTCTCAGCATTCGATAGTCTATTCGTACGAAGCGACAG